CAGCTGCCCGTCCCCAGCCCTGAGCTGGGCACTGCCCTCACCACAGCCAGGCACACCGGTGGGAACATCAGTGTCCCCCTGGATTGCAGGGAGCCTGCCCGTCGCTGTGGACTGTGGTCTCCTAGAGGGACCTGAACCTGGTGACCTCCTTATGGGCACTCTCAGAAATACCCATTGACATCTGTCCTGTTAGCTGCTAACCTTTAAGGCATGCAGTTTCAAGTACAGTGACACAGTAGCCTATGGGCAGTTTGAAGCCACAGCCCCATCAGCACACCCACATAACTCTGGACCTAACTAATAGGCCTCAGTAACACTTTATTTCAGCAGCCTCATAAGTATCTCAACCACTATTTTTCCCACTGCGAAAGTTCTTCCACACAATCCTTGGTGTAGACTCTACCGTCTAACAGACCCACCCCTCAAACTTTACCCTCTTTTGTGCTCTGGTTCTGCCCTCTCCTGACAGATAAAATTCAATGGGAGCAAGTACTCCCTCTGCCTGGAGATCAGGTCCAATCTTATAATTTGTCCTTGTTCACAGACTATTTGGCCTATCCCTATCACCTGCCTTTTTCTTTCTTCTCTCCAGCAAGGCTTTCTAGGATAGCAGGGAAGTGGGAGAGAAGGTTGCCCTCACTCCATTAGAGGCAAGGAGCAAACTGAAAGTTGGGAATTATATGGTTTTATTCACACCCTTCCTCCTACAGGAACTTGACAGACATCAGCCTCCTTGAATGCTTCATTCACCTGCGGTATGTGGATTTGTCAGAGAACAAGCTGCAAGATTTGTCTCCACTGGGGAACCTAACCTACCTGCTCTGGCTGAAGGTGGATGGGAATCTGCTCACTAGTGCCTGCATTCCAGAGCTGCCCTACCTCCAGGTCCTCAGCTTTGCTCACAACCGCATCCAGGATATGGAGGGCATTACTCACCCCCGCTTAGCCACCCTCAGCCTGAAAGGTGATACAGACCAACTCTCCTCATTCTTGTGAGGACACTCTCATAGGTTGGGATTAACTCTCTTGTTTCTTCTTCCTCTGGCACTCAGGAAATAAAATCCAGACAGCGCTGGGCCTGAGTCATGGCCAGTTGTTCAGTCTGCAAATCCTGGAGCTGCGAGGAAACAAGCTAGAGAGCACAGCAGGGCTCAGTATTCCCAAGCTCAAGAACCTCTATCTGGTAAGGGATCAGCCAGCTTGGGGAGTGGGACAGAGCTGCTGCAGAGCCTGGCACCTCCAGTCAGTGGGAGGAAGGGAGATGCTGTCTCTTTCAAAACACCATAACTTTTGTGCTAGCCTGTTCCATTCAGTCTTTTCAGCCTGAGAGAGGAACAGATTTCAGAGAGCTGAAGAGAGAAAATCACTTCTTTGGGGTAGCTCCTTCTACACTTTCTGCCCAGAGAGAGTGAGGGGAGTAGCCATGAACCACAAATCGTAGAGACGTTGGCTACATTCAGTGCATTGGGTTCTTCCTCACAGCCTCCTGTGGGAGATCAGTTTTCCCTTCAGGCTGTGTTAGGCAAGCTGGTATTTGTTCAGTGTGCCCTGGAACCACTGGAGATCACTGGGTAAAGCAACAGATTTGTTCTGGGTGACACAGGAAGGTGATGCCACTTTCTCCTCTCCAATGGGCCTAATCAAATACTAGCTTAAAACCAGCACAATTACATGATTCACACCTTCAGCTGCCAAAAAAGAAACTGATTGAACATCACCTTAGTCAAACTAAGGTAGGAGAAGCAATTTCCTAGTATCATAAACATGTGCTTCAAGGGAACATTTACTCCCAGAAATACAAGTGAAAAGAGCACGTATGGCTTAGCCCTGTGCATTGCACAGTGCTGCAGCTTGCAAAGGCTAGATAGATGTCCTGAGTCACTACTTCTTAGAAAGCAATTAAATATAGTAAAGGCTTTGAAAAACTATGCGTTTTCTTTGCATGAAGGCTTCCTGGCAGAAAACACTGAGGAGATTGCTTGCTGAGATTGCCTGCAATGTTCTGGTGGAAAACTGGGATTTTAGGACTAGAGGTGCTCAGAGAATGTATGAAGTGGCTAAGTCACTAGATACAACGTAGCATTTCAGAGCATACCCACTCACTTCAGTGAGTTACTGGAGGGAAGCAAACACAGCACCTATATCCAAACAAGGTTCTTGGCATGGCTGAGGAGTTTCTGAGCTGTCCATATGAAGCGGGAAAATTGCAAGGGGTGATTATTAAAATTAGAACAACAGACTCAGGAATCTTTGGGGCTTGAATTTGTCTCCTATGCCCACCTGCTCATTATATCATTTTAGAGGAAAGTCTCTCCCAGTAATGCTTTGCTTTCTGTATAAAGATTTTAGTGTTATTTGAGCCTTGGGTAGGTGCAGCTGATGCCTCAAGGACCAGGTTAATGACAATCTCTTTAAATTGAACCAAATTTGTTTAATGTATGACATAGCTGCAGATGAAATTTAGGAAGAAGTATAACTTCTTCAAACTAGCAGGAAGCTGGGAAGCTGTCTGTGTGCCATGAGGGTCACGGTAGGGCTGCGTTAGCTCCTGATCATGGTACAGCACTGGTGACAAAGGCTAACTAGAGGAAGGTGAGGTATGCAAGAACAGGAGGGGGAATCATGGGCAACATAGCATGGTAGTTTTCCATAAGAAACGGTGGCATCACATCTATGTGAAGAATTGGTATCTAAGGCAAGGTGATGGTGTGATCATTTAATTAACGGTGCCAGACAGAATGTTATTTGATTTAGGGAAAAAAAGTAAAACAGCCCTGAAAAATACCCATTCTGCATTGTCCTGCCAGTGCTTGCAAGGCCAGAGATGTTAAAACTATTCAAACTGATGAAGAAAGTGGAGTGATGGGAGGTTACTATTCCTTTTACAAACCAGGGGCCTGTGAGCTCCCCAGCCGCACCAGCTCCCGATTTCCTCTGAGATACAATGTCCTAATCCTTCTTGACTGTTAAATCTGCTCATAGGACCTTCGCTAAATATCCAACTTTCCTCTTCCTGTCCTTGTGTTCCTCTTTTTGATTGGCCTAGGTGGTCCGGAGCCTCCTTTGACCAGTTTCCATTAAAATCCTCCTTTTCTACAAAATGTCCTTTTCCTGAGCGACTCAGCCCTAAAGTGTTCTCCTATCCCACCAGTTCAGCCTGTGCCCCTTTGTTAGTCTCAGGTATTGTCCACATCACTGCCCAGGTGCCTATGAGGAACACAGAGCACAGCTACACTGCTCTTCACATTTCCCGTTCACGTGTCTGCATTCCTAGAGGCTGCAGCCCCGAGCCCACTAGCAAGTGAAACCCTGCTCAGCTCCAGGCTGGAGAACGTTGTCGGGAAGGTGTCATTCACCAGGTATGCTCCAAACTTGGCCGCACAAGGCGGTGAGCAGCCTGATGGAGCGTTGGTGCTGGCACTGCGGAGAGCCCGCGTCTGGGATGGAGACCTCTAGTGGTCTTTTCCGGCCGAAATCCTGCTGTGTAACTATTCCCGGTATTCAGACCTTCGTATTTCCCTGCTTCGTAACCCACATCGCAGTGAAGTGAATCAAATTCAGTGATGGGGGATTTTAAACTTCTTGATGTAAGATTGTCAGATTTGTTCCAGGAAGGTGCACTTATGATGGGTAGCAACAACTATACCTGAAAAAGCTTAAAATTATGCCAATCAACAGACCCCACCCCCCTGCAACCTCTCAAGAGCACACAGCTGCTTCTCCTCCCAGAGGAGTAGAAGTGACTTCTTGGTACTAGATTTCCCCCACAAGAGAAGCAGCTGACTGAAAGATACTTGAACTACATGGATTATGTGACTGAGAGGGAGTGATTACTCATCCTTTAAACAGTCATTTCAGGCTCAAGTGAGCTTTGCCCTCCCCACTGTTGCTGAGGCCCAGATTCAGCACTGCCATGGAAGAAGGTGTTGTGCTAGCAGTGGAGTATTCACCTGGGATGGTTTTGTTTCAGTCACCAACTGACGCTCCAGGAAACAATTTTCTGCAAACTTTTGGTCCTTGAATCTGAACATTTAGAACCCACTTGGACAAGACCCTGAACAACCTGGTTAGAGAAGGCTGTGTTATGAGTGGTAGGGAGTCCAAAGGGTAGAAAGAGCTTAAAAGGTCAAAAATAATTGCTGTTCCCTCTCCTGCGTGACCCCTTTTTCCTTCTCTCTTCCTACCTCCCTGGTGCTCAGGCTCAGAACACCATTTGTCGCCTTGAAGACCTTGAGGGGCTCGAGCAGCTGGAGACTCTGCACCTGCGTGACAACAAGATTGAGACCCTGGATGGATTCTTTAGTAGCATGAGGTGCCTGAAGTACCTCAATCTACGGTGGGTCCTCCCTGCTCTATGTTGGGAGCAGAGACCCTTTCGCCAGACTGTACTCCCATTTAGATCTTTAGGATTTTCTGGTTTCTTGGGAAGCTGAAGACCTGGTGCAGATGATTTGATTCTTAGCTAGTGTTCAGCACTCAGGTGTCTAGGCATGTAATAGGGCCTTTCCTGGGCTTCTCAGAAAATAGCTGCCTCTCCAGTCACACTCATAGCCCACCTCATGCTTTTTATTTCTTGCCATAATTCTGTTGGATACTTCAAAGTATGTTCTCTGTGTCCTGTCTGCAAGTGCCCTTTAGTTCTCGGCATTTGCCATAGAGGGCAATGGTGATATCACACAATTCAATGGACTGCCTGAGCACAGAGAAACCCAGATATTTCCTTTTTGTCCCTCAGTTTGGGGAGCTGCAAACAGATCCAGATCTTAGATGGAAGATCTGTGGTCTAAGGTCTATGGTCCATCATGCTGCTGAGTTTTACTTTGTCTGTCTTGTCCACTTACTGTTCCAAAGGGATCTCACTATTTGCATGGGTCTCTTTCCCCCGCCCTCTGTGCTTCCCCTTCTTCAGGAACAATGGAATCAGTAGCTTTCAGGAGGTGGCAAAACTGCAGGTCCTCCCCATGCTGCAGACACTGGTGCTGTTGGACAATCCATGCTCTGATGAACACAATTACCGACTGGAGGTCCTGATCCTGCTGCCACACCTGCAACGCCTGGACAAGGACTTATTTGAGAAAGATGAGCGGGAAGAGGCAAAGAAAATCCATCAGATAAGGCAGGAAGAAGAAAAGGTGAGAACAACATGGTGGGGGGAGGAGAAGGAAGTGAAGGGAAAGAAAAGCATCAAACATGCTGATGAAGCCTCTCCTCCTTTAGATGACATGAGCAGAAGGGTGAGGGACATCAGTCCCGAGAGCAGAAGAGCCTGAGAAAGAGACCAGACTTTGCAACCTGGTTGCGATGGCCAGCATGCAACCCTGCTGCCATTCCCAGCCCCACTAGCAGAAGAGGCTGGTGAAAGGGAAAAAGAAGTCAGGCATGGAGTCATTAACTTTTTCTTCTTCCCTTCTTCAGGAAATGGAAGGATCCCTTCAGGGTGATATGACTGACTGACCCTTGTTTTTAACACCTGTTCCCTGAGGCTGTCAGGATGTGGAGATGCCTTCCTCAACATGTGCAGCTAGGAAAGTGAGAGCTGTAGGTACCAGCTTCACCTCATCTTACCCCTGGAGAAAAGAGGGCTACCCACCCTGGTCCTGGAAGCTGCCCTGAGGCACTGCAGTGTTTTTGCAGTCACTGCACTGATATATTCTACTCTCGGAAGGCCTGAGAGGGAAAAGGGGAGAGTTACAGGTTCTGTGGTTCGATTTACGGCTCTCAAAAATCCTGCAAAATTTTCCAATTTGAATAAAAATCATTAACGAGCCTGGAGTGACTGGGGTTGTTTATCCTGCACACCCACTCCTATTCCCTGGCTCTTTCACCCTCGTCTGTCTACGTCTATCCCTTGCTGCCTGCCTCTCTCTCTCTCTCCATCCCCTACGTGCTGTTTGCAAAGCTTTGCTAAATCCTGACTCATCGCAGCTCTGGGTCACATGCTGCTGTCCCGGCCCTATCAGGGGCGTCTCCATCCTGCTGCTGCCGCCGCCGTTGGCTTAGAGGACACATCATCTCCCCTTGAGGTCCTGCATCCCTCCTCAGCTTCGTCCTCTCTCCCTTCTACCAACACTTTCTCAGTCTCTCGTTCACCCCTGCCCTAGGAAGGTAAGTGCCTCCCCACGGCCAGCACCCCTCTCACCGCATGCATGTTTCTGCTCCCCACCTTGTGCCCTCCAAACCCTACACGCACTTTGGGGTCCCTGCGGAGAAGGACCACGGTGAACGGCATTAACAACTAAACTCCCTTCACCTCCTCCCCCTGCTCCTCCCACCTCTCTCTCCTCACCCCCACCCTTCTCACTTTTCTTTTGCGTTTTAATTACAGGTACTCCCTCCTTCCCTATCCGCCTCACCCCCCACCCCTCCGGCAAGCATCATTTCAGGCGTGAACCTAGGGAATTGCAGGAGGGGGGCAACCAACGAGGATAGGTGGGGCTCCCAAGGGCATTGCCGGGAGGTGCTGCGGGATGGAGCTTTCCCTCAGGGAGGGGATGCTGGTGGGGCGGAGGCAAAGCTCAGTCTGGGCACTGCTGGAGAAAGGATCCAGCCTCGGAGCAGACCAGCTTCCTCAGCCTCCCGAGGTGCTGACATAAACACAGGCGCTCAGCCGGGTCCCCGGGAGAGGGAGGGAGGAGAAAGGGTGTTTTCCTATTTGGACAGCCCCACACCACACAGGGGAGGGGGGCAGCAGGGAGAGAAGGTGGCAAGCAAGCAATAGCTGCATCAGCCACGACACTGCAGCAGTGCGGGCTTCCTGGGAGCAGTGCCCAGCCCGAGGGGATCACAGCAGCACGCAGGACTGGTGGTGGTGGCATGGGGGAAAGGTCTTCGCCGTGCTGGCCCTCCTGGCAGGGAGGGGGACTTGCTGCAGTGCCAGCTCCAGCAAGACGATGCCCTGCTGACACGCAGTGCCACAGAGCGGTGCCCACAGAAGGCCACTGCAGCAGGGCAGCCTCTCGGGGTGCACTGCCCATTCCCTGCTCACGGGGGGTGCACAGCCTCCAGCCTCGATCTTCCCTCTCCCTGACTGTGGTTTATGGCCTCCCTGCTATGGCTCCATCCCAATCGCTTATCCCAGCTTATCCGCTTCTGACCTGCTTTCAGGACAGTGCAGCTGATGCCAGGGATTTCAGGGTGGTTCTTTGTGCTGTCCAAAGGAGGGCAAACGCAGGGGGACATGGGGCAGCACCACAAGAGAAAAGGGTTTAAAGGACTAGAGGGGAGAAGAGGTCATGTGAGTGATGGGGAGGGGCAGGCAAGGCTGGATTTGGGCTTCTCATCTGGCTTCCTCAGAGCTGGCTACGACAGGGGCAGGTGGATGTGGCCAGAGGGATATGACCGCGGGCAACGTGACCACATAAGCAGAGAAGCACAACATCTGCCACGGGTGTTGCTGTCAAAGATCACTTTCATGGAGTCCTGACCCTTTCTACCCTGTGGAGGCTGTTGGGGTATGGCCAGGACACTGCTGCAAAGGAAGCTTGCAGCTGTGTGGGCATTGGCTCTGGAGGAAGTTCCTGTGGCGTGTGCCAGATGGCATGAGGAGCACTGCCAAAGCGGCTGATGGGGGATCCCAGCCCAGATGGACATGGTGGAGGGCCCTGCACAGGCTCCAGAGAACCATGGAGTTGCTGATTGAAACTCCCTACTACGGGAAGCTCTGGCTGAAACTTCACAGCAGCATTATGATTTCCTCATGCCCCTGTGATTCCCACCCGCCCAGGGCAGTGGGGTTGAGCTCTGATTCTGGCTTTCCCCAGGCTCCTTCTTACCTCCCCTCAGCACTGTGAGGTGCTGTTAGCAGCATATCCTCCCTGTCCCTGCACACTCCCCACTCTGTGCTGAGCCCTTGTGTTGGCCATACCCTCCCTGCTCACACACACCACAGGGAGGCTCTGGCTGGGGTCCCGTTGTTACTCCAGCCTCTGCCAGCCCTGCTCAGGATTGAGTGAATCATCATCCGTAGGAGCTGAGGGAGGAAAACCTGGCAGGGCTGGAGGCGTGGGGGGACAAGCACCTTGCTGCATCACCCTGGCATCACACAGCCTCACAGCTGGGGGAATGAGAATGATGAGAATGAGAAGATGGGATGGGAGGAATGAGCTGGTTTGGACCCCCTAGGGAGCAAACTGCAACGAGAGAAGCTTTTTCCAAACAGCCATCATCACCCACCAGCCTGTTTTCTACTTCAGGCTTAACCAGGTGCCCCAAAACGCCAGGTTTCCTCACCCTCCTCATCTGACAGAGATACTTCCCAGTCTCATCTGCTTCCCCATTGCAGAAGTGAAGTGACGGGTTGGCAGCTGAGCCAGGTTCCCCCTCCCTTCAGAGCCCTCTCTCCTACATCTGAGGCACCATGGCCTTCAGCAAGATGTCTCCACGCTCCTGCTGTCTCGGCACAGCCTGACCCAGAGGCTCTCAGGGGCACAGGAAGGCTGAGCCAAGTGCTCAGCAAGGGGGAGCATGGCTGGGGGTCTGTGAGAGCCAGGCAGGGGCAGCTCCTTCTACCAGGGGCTGGGTGTCCCCATGGGCTGCCTGCCCCCTGCCCTGCGTGCTGTGCGGGGGCACAGCAGCCACTTGCTGCCTGGCCCTGGCAGGGACTGTCCTTGCCTCCCAGCAAGGGGACAGGAGATGCCGAGAGCTGGTGTCCCGTCCTTGACGCCAAAGCCAGGGGCACCTCCCAGCTGCGCCAGCTGATCCCTCCCTCTCTGCTGCCCCTGGATGCTGTGGCACCCTCCCTCCCCATCTCTGCCATCCAGGCATGTCAGGCGCTCTGCCGTGACATGGGGAGAAAGGGAAAGGGCACTCCCAGTTTGTCATCTGCAGCAAAGGGACTGAGTAAATTCGAATACATAACGAGTTCCTGGACAAAATGTGGGTAGATTTCCATAGTCTGGGTGAATTTCTAAATTTTCTGGGGCCAATAGTTTTAGCTGTGACTCATAAAGTCACTTTTCCTTGAGCTCCCTTCTCTCTGCCAGTGTCTCTTATAGACATTGAAGGGTGAGCACCAAGTCCTGGGACCTCTCATAGCTGAAGATGTCCTGTCCTTTCCTCTCCATAGACTCATCATGGCAGTCGAGAGGATCTATGCCCGTGAGATCCTGGACTCCCGTGGGAACCCCACCGTTGAGGTGGACCTGTACACACACAAAGGTATGCGGGTGAGGATGAGAGATGGAGGGAAAGTCCTGCCCACCCCAGCAGTGCTGGTGCTGTGCAGCAGCCTGTCATGCTCTGCTGAGAGCACAGAGGATCTTCACCAATGAACCCCCCAGCAGACAACAAGCCAGTGGAAGAGGCAGAGACCAAAATTCTGCTTGTGGCTTTGCTTGTGCTCAGCAACTCTGCACACATGCTGGGCAAATCATGACAAGACAGCTGGCTGCCATGTACGTGACTTGAGCCATGTGCCTGCTAGTAACAGGGATGGAAGGTTTTCTTAACATAAATATATGCACCTTCTCATCATGTCCTCGTGATGCCCTCCTACAGCTATGCTTTTAGTCCTAGGACACAGTACAAGTTTGGTAGCGCAGTCATGGCCATACTGCTGGTGAGGGTAAAGGCCTGTCCCTGAGATATCTGTGCAGGCATGTCCATGCACATGTGTGTCGACTGGAAGAGCTGCATCTGTGCTGTGCCCAAAACTAGGGGTGAGGAGCAGTGAGGGGTCAGAACAGACTTCTGACCATTCTCTTCCTTCTTCAGTGAGGCAGAAACACAGCCCCAGTCTGAGGGGAGGAAGCTGCTGGCGGCTCTGGGTCAGGCTGCCTCTGGAACCAGGAGGAGGGCTGAGGAACCAGAATGACACACATCATCCAGCTCTGGGATCAGTGTGGACCTCTGAGTGCCTGAGATCCAGGTTTCTCAGCCTGGAAGCCCTGGATGCATTTATTTCTGCCTCCGAGGTGTTCCACCTCCGAGAGGTGCTCCACCTGGAGTGGCCAGCCAGCAGGGCCATCCATTTGCACAAGCAGCTGCTACATCGTTTTCCCATGAAAGCAAGGCAGAAGTAGGTGCATGAGGGTTTTCCCTCGTCACCCTCTGCTCATCTCACACTCCTGTTTTACTGTTTCCCAGGCATGTTTCGAGCAGCGGTCCCCAGCGGTGCATCCACTGGTATCTACGAAGCGTTGGAGCTGAGAGACAATGACAAGTCACGTTTCCTTGGAAAAGGTGGGGAGATGCCTGCTCCACACCCTGTCCCTGGGGCTGCCTGTGCGTGGGGCTCTGCCGGAGGGTAACATTCATCTGCTGGTGTGATATGGATGTGTCCCACTACCCTCTGGGAGGCCACAGAGGCACAGACCTAGCATAAAGTGAAAGATCAGGCCTCGATCTTCCCTCACTGTCTCCCTCTCTCAGTCTCTCTGTCGGTCCTCTCCCTTCCTCTTTCCACTCTCTTCTTTGCCTCACCCTCTCTCTCTTTCTCTCTTTCTTTCTCTGTCTCT